AATTCAGAAGGCCCAGCCCAGCACCCTCCTGCCTCTTTTCCAATATCATGGTCAAGGCTCCTGTTGCCGTAAAATAATCCCCAAAGTTTCTACTATTTCATTTTCCTAAAAGACTCTTATTGGTCTACTCATTTACCTTCTGATTTTTGCCCCAGCTCTGAGCTCAGAAAACTTTGTGACATAGCGTTGAGCATTATCTCCCCCGTTTCTAAAACCAGGCCAAGCGTAAGACAGGTGCCGCACACGTTCTGTACGGCTGCTGTATCCAGTGGCCACATCCTTACTGGATTAACACTCGATGAGGGTGTCACCTTACAGCTCTGGAAGTCAGAAGTCCAAAGTGGGTCTCACACAACCTAAATCAAGGTGTGACTAGAGCTCGTTCCTTCTGAATCTTTGGGAGAGCGAGGAGAGAATCTTTATGTTCTTGCTTTTTCCAGCTTCTGAAAGCTAAGTTTAAAGGGGTTACAGTTCATCCTTTCCTCGTTCCTCCTAAGTAGAAGTAGGAGCATTGACAGTTTAGGATGGATGGAAGAGGATGGAGGACTAGAAACATCCAGCTTGTTCCTGTCTATATTTTAAATCCCAACTCAGTCACTGATTAGCTAGAGTCAATGGCTTATTGCTTCTAAGCCTCAGCGCTTCCATCAGTGAAGTGGGAATGAAATGATGAAGTTGGCTGTTGTTTATTGAGCCCCATTTGCCTTGGATAAAGAGTATAACATCTAGATTTTCTTTTCTTAGCTAAGGACTCACTCTGCAGTTCAGACTGGCCTTGAACTCACTAGCCCAGGTGATCCTCCTGCCTCAGCCTCCCAAGTGCTGGGATTATAGGTGTGCACCACCACACCTGGTATATACGCTGTCGTATTCAGATTAAATGAGAGGGTATATGTCGTATACAAATTCAATGGAACCATGTATAAAGAATAGGATTTCTAATAGTGCTTGGAACATGGTAATACTCAACAAAAGGATGATCTGTTATTATTTTTCTTATTTCCAATTTTCCTCTTCATTCTTCTGTTCTTTTGCTTTCTCATCACCCAGTTTTGTCTGATGTCCTTGTTACACCCTTCTATTTTTTCCCATGTGTAATTCATCTGTTAGCCCAATTTTAGACTCACCAAGTTTTTTGTTATAAAACTATACATAACAAGGAGCTGGAGATTTAACTCAGTGGTGCTGCTGTCTGCCTCAAAAGTGCAAGGCCCTGAGTTTGATCCCTGATACAAAAAAAAAAACTGTACATAATACGGATGCTTTATTAATATTGGTTTCTTCGTTAGGCATTCTGATTATCTCCCTGACTGCCAGGGTGGTTTCAAAGGCCAGGACTCCTGGTTTCTCTTCTTTCTTTCATTTAGAGGTGCTCTCCCTCACATTGAGGATTGAACCCAGAGTGTGTTGAGCTAAATACTCCAGCCCTGTTTGTTTTAGTTGGAGACAGGGTCTCACTAAGTTGCTCAGGTTGCCCTTGAACTTGAATTCCTCTTGCCTTAGTCTCCCAACTAGTTAGGATTACAAACTTGCACCACCAGGTCAGGCCAGAGGTATTTCTGAGAGGCTATCAATAGCCAGACCTTTGCAAAAGGAGAAGAAGCTTCCTTCCTTCCAACTCTTTCTCTTCCCATGCACTAGAAATGAAAATATCCAAGAAGAAATGTCTATTATTTCACCCCTGAGACTGAAGGCAGCAGGGATGTGCACGTTTCTGCCTCTGTGTCTGCATGACTTGTTATCAGAAAATTAGAGTAGAAAAGAAGCTTTTGTGCAGCTACGGAGACATCTTAATAGCTGCTTTGATTGTTAAACAGAAGTTTCTGTATCAGTTTAATTGCTGTAAGTGTTATTTGCCTTCTGTGTTATGATAAGGCCTCCATTCTCATAGATTTTTCCCCCCTTCCCTTTCAACAGTTTTCCTTTGCTCTAAGGCTTGCATTGGAAGTTTAATGAAATCCAAACAAAGAAAGTAGAGAGAGGACCTCCAGGTTCAAGTCTACACACCCACACAGGAAGCTGTACGAAGGTTATTACGGCTTTAGACTAATGATGCTCTAGCCGCTTCGTGTAATTGACAGAATTCACCCCTTCAACCAGATATTGGGAAATGAAACCAAACGACCAAACTTAATTATATCTATTTTTTTAAAAAGGTGATGTAATTGAGAGTAATAGAATGAGTAGGATATGAATCTAACAGTGAGATGTGCTTATAATAAAGTGTTTTTTCTCTGCTCACTTAAGCCTCAGGAGCTCCCAGTGGGATTTCAAACTTTTAAAAAGTTTTCCTTTTTCTTTCTAGGTGGAGGGGATGGTAGTGCAGGTCAAGAAGGAGTTAGCTTCAGAAAAAGAGAAACATTTCTATCCGAATTCTCAACCTTGATGCTATTGGCATTTGGGGCTAGTTACTTCTTTTTGTATGCAGTGGGGGGCTTATGTTCGGAGTCTTACGGAACATTGACAGTGTCCTTGTCCTCAATGCACACACAGACACACACACACTCCCCAAAATGCCCCCAGACACTGCGAAATGTCTCTTGTGGGGTGAAAGCTCTGGTGGTTAATAACACTGCAGTAATGGCTCCTGGAAGACTCTGAAATAACTGCAGTTGCTTCTTGAGATTCTGCTGGTGTCTGGTTGCCTGAGATCCCTGCTACTCTCTGAGCTCCTTTGTCTTCCATTGTACAGCCAGAAAACCGATAGCGTCAGCCACACAGAGACACAGATTCCCGGATTAAAATGCACAGCATAGCGCCTAGCACACACCAAGCGATCAATAAACGCAGTGTTTCTATTATAATACTCTTGGACTCGGCAAACACATTAAATACTTACTCTGCTCCAGACACATGCTATCAGATAGTGATATGAAGGTGGAGGTGTGGCTCTTACATTTGCAGAGGTGGCAGATATTGACCTCCTGGTATGATCTTGTTCGTCCCACATGGCAGACATTGCTAGTCGATCTCAGAGCTCTTTCCTGTCGAGCCTCGGAATCTTTCTCAACCCAACTCTCTAATCACCCACTACTTGTAGCCCACGGGTTGCTCCTGACTGTAGATTGCTCACGAGGAGGCCACCCCTTCCTCTCCAACACAACCTGTAGCAGTTAACAGGCAGTGTCTTCCCTCTTGCACCTGAATTCAGCCATCAAAGGAGGTAGGAATGGGGGGAAATGCTTTTTAACATTTTTTTACTCATTTTTCTCTCTTGTCTTTTTCATTTCCCTGAGAAAATGAAACAAGCAGTCAAATAGGCTTTGGGCTTGATGACATCTAGTTCTTAGTTAAACTAGAGGAAATTCCACAGGCTAGAACTCTCACTGGCAGATCACACTGTCTCTTTCTTGAGTCTTCTCCACCCTTTTGGCTTCAGAAAGCATTAGTTCTCCCTGGGAGGGTCCTACTTTACAAAAGCAGAATTGGGGCTTCTGGAAACAGCTTTCACATGGCAGCCGACAGAGTCATCGGACAGAAGAGAGGAGCGAGTGGGCTGGGGTTAAAGGCTCCCTGATCTGTCCTGACATGCCCGACGCCTGGACTAGAGCACCACTCCATAGCAATTGCTGCCGAAAAATGAGTTGTGCGTCTGCAGCCTTGAGAGCAGGAGCTGCCTCCGTCCATCTGGCCTGAGAAGTGAGAGCTGGTGTATGGGTCAGCCGCTTCCCTCCTCTCGCCCTGTCTGGTGGAGATGACCCGCAGCGCTAGCTCTTTTCTGCGGTTGTTTCATGCCTTCCTGGCCTGTGAGGTCTGTGAGGAGGCTGATTGTGGACGACTGGGCAGTGGAGCGGGTAGAGGCTGCGCTCAGGGTCTGAAGACTCAGTCAGTGAGGGAGTGGCAGTGCAGTTTTCTGACATTTAGTCTAAAGCATGAAAAGGAAGGCCAGATGAGGGCAGGCCTCTTGGCTGAAGTCTGCATGTCTTGTTGTTTCTTTGTCCGTTCCTATTTAGCCATCCAACTACCCACCTATCCATTCATCTACCCTTCCATCCATGCACTAATCTACCTACCATCCGCCCAACCATCCATCCATCCATCCACCAATCTGTCCACCTATCCATCTATCCATCCATCCATCCATCCATCCACCCTCCCACCCCACCCCACCTATCCATCCATATATTCACTTAGTCATCCATACGCCCACCTATCCATCCATCTACCCACCTACCCATCCGTATATCTATCCATCCATCTACCTTCCTAACCCACCCAACTATACATCCATATATTCACTTATCCATCCATCTATCCACCCATCCATCTACTTATTCTAGCATGACTAGGTGGCATATGGTTGTACATTCTAATAATGTACAATATACAGAAAATGATACGGATTCCCATATAGACTTTGATCTTAAAAATATATGTATTTAAACAAAAAATGGAGTCAGCTTTAAAAAATGCTAACTAACTGACTTTATGGGTTGTACCGAGGCATGGTGAAAACTGGGAGAGTGGTACAATAACGCCATGACAGGCATTTGGAACCCACCACGTTATAACTTTGCATTCAAGAGCACAGGCTCTAAAGTCCCTCAAGCTTGGATTCACAGCTGCTGTGCTGCCTATGAGCTAAATGACCTTGAGTAAGTGAATTTCCCTGTTCATGCCTCAGTTTCCTCATCTGTGTGGTGGGGAACTTCGCCTCCCCTATACTTGAAGTTGTTTTTAAAGGTCATAGCCAGATAAGTCGTGTGAGTCACTCAGTGTATGCCTGGCACATGTTAAGTGCTCTGTAAAATGGAAGGGATGCCTGATTCTTTAACCTTTTCACAGCTGGTCTCTTTTAAGGCCTCTCCCGCCTGCCCTGCCCGAGGGACCTTGCATGAGTTGAAGTGGCCACCTAAACGATTGTCCCATTTGGCTTGGCCTAGCACAAAGCAGTTGGTGTCCTTCCTGAGACCAGCAAGCCTCCCTTTTCCTTCCAGCCCACCCAGCCTATGAGCCATTGGGTAACAAGCTCCTCTTTGCTCTTCTCTCTCTCTCTGCAGACACACTGTCAGTGCCACGCTGGTCTCCACAGATCCCTCGCAGAGACCTCGGCAACTCCATCAAGCACAGGTAGGCTGGATTCCTGGGTGTCCACCTGCCTGCACCCCAGCCCAGCTCTGTGTCACTGTGAGCCTCTCTCCTCAGAGTGGCAGCTGGGGGACCAGGACAAGACATGTGCACCTTCTAAAACTTGCCTTGTCGAATTAGCACACAGTAGTTAAAAGCTGGGGGTTTGGAGTCAGACTGACTCATGTTTTCCCTCCCAGGTAGGAAAGCTTTGCAACCTTGAGGAAGTTACTTAACCTCTCCAAGGCTCCATTTTTTTGAGCAGCTAATTCTGCCTACTAATAAGGTAATTGTGCAGATTAAATGAAACAATATTTGTACTTAACATAGAGCCTCGCATGTAATAAACACTCAATAAAGGGCATGATTGTTAAATTATGTCCCAATCTGGAGGCTTCTCACCCACAAAACAAGACGGCAGGCTCCGTTCAGCAGTGCTCATCGCCTACAGAGGTGTGGATCCGTCCAGAGGTACAGCGCCCCTGGGCAAATAGGACGGTTTCCCCGGGATTATACCTGCCCTTCTGGGAAGGGGCTTTGTCCTGACTGCTCATCTCTGAGACGTTCTTTAACGTTTCACATCCGATTTCCACACTTCACCTCAGAGTCCGCGTAGTCTCACCAGCTCAGTGTGGTTCAGTGGGCAGGGATGGCCCTGCCTCTTTGACAGATAAGGACACCGAGGCTCTGGAAGATTGAGCCATGGGCCCAGAAGCTAATGTGCTTCCTCATTTCGTGCCTTGCTGAGAGTGTTCCGTGCCCTGGGCCCCTGTGAATCGCCGGCGGGCTGGCTCGGTCATTCACGGATTCTCTCCCCTAGGAGGTGCAGGGTTTCTGTGCCGGCTTGCAGCACAGAGCAAGATGCAAGGCCTGGGTCCTGGAGGCGCTGGCCGGCCAGGAGGGGGGCACCTAACAGATCATGACAGAACTGCAGGGCCAGGGTGACGGGGGGGGGCGGGGGGCACATGCCATAGCCCAGGGCAAGGGGAGAATGAGCGCTGTCCTTGTCAACAACTTTTGAAAGGAGGATGTTGACAGGAAGCTGTTAAAACTCAAATGAGAAAACCGTTGAAGCAGTAAAAAATGTGCCGTAGACACATCAGTGGTCAGGCTGTGAGCTGCAGAGAAGGGTGTCAAGGATGAGGGCCTTTTGGGGGTGTTTACTTCTTTCCTGCACCCTGACTCTTCTCCCACCCTAGGCTGGGTTGGTTACACCTAGATCAGCGCCTCCTCTGATTGGCCCCGCCTATGACTCAGCCACGCCCCCAGCTCTTCTCCACTCTTGAGTTGGGCACTCACGGCTCAACTACCTACCTGGATTAGCCACACCCCTAGTCTAGTCCTTCCCTGGGGTTTACGGAGCTCCTGCTTCTGCTCTACTGTTGGGCGGGCAGTGCCCTTGGCTCAGCGCTACCCTGTGCATAAGCCCCATCCCGGGCTTTCTCACTTAACCCTGGAACCTGGTGGTTTCTGAGCTTCAGAGGGCCGGTGCCCAGCGGAGGGAAACAACCTGACCATCTTGCTGGAGATGACCTGTTATTCTTCAGTCCTGCCCTGGGTTCCTCTTTGGACTCAACGCCAGACTCACCCAAGCCTTGGTGAAAAAAAAAAAAAAAAAGAAAAAGAAATTAAAATCTCATTCCTTAACGTCAGTCACATCAGCCAGAGCCAGGGAACAAGGAGAGCTGATCTTGGGGATCAGAGAGGGCTGAAAATGAGGGAAAACTGCCACCAGCTCACCTATCTGCCCTCCATCGCTGTGCTGCCGGCTGGGGTGAAGCTCATGCCCCTTCGCCGTCCCCCAGGGCTGTCACATCCTGCAGAACAGACCCTGCTAAACTTGCTGGCCCTGCCGAAGGGATCCAGAGGACATTAAGCAACCCCCAGATCTAAAACCAGAGAGGGACATTTTTCTTGGCAACCAGCATCTCCGCTCAGAATATTGCTGTTTGCTTAGCTATGGAGGCTTTGAGCTGCAGCTCATTCTGTTTGGAGAGGGACTGACCCAGATCCGGCAAGATGGCACAGCAGAGGGAGGCAGACGTCCCCTCAAAATGCTCCATCTCCCAGTTATGTAAGCACTTCTGATTTCCCTTTTGACACCTCAAAGCAGTAGAGATTAGATACAACTCCTGCCGATGGTGGCACAAATTGAAAATTAAAATTAACTGTGACCTGGCAACCTTCAATACTTTTCTTGAGCCCAGCCCTGCTGCCACCTCCTGTCTCAGGGGGGAAAAAAATCACTCAGCAACCTGGGGGAGGGCACCAGGGAGTTAATCTAATGCACCTCTTACTCACACTGGTGATAGCTGTATGTGGGGGACACCCCCCCAACCCTTATATTGGCCGCAAGTTGGGGAGGGAGATGAGCTCATGGTCAGAAAAGGCTTTCCCTTTGGGGGACTTTTCTCTGCTACCGAAGTTTGGTTCTCTGCTCCTCTGGTTTGGATTCTCAGCTCTTTGGGAAGGGAGGATCCCTGTTGAAGCTCCTCAGGTGACAGGTGACAGGTGACATGCCTAGCAGTGATGAGGAACGGCTCAGCGAGGAGACCCCACCTGTCTTTGTGGCTCTCTGATGGCAGTGCCAGCCCTACAAGTTGCTCTGTCCCACAACTGAATGTAGCACATTGTAGGCCAGCAGGCAACATGTGTACAGTGAACAAGTGACTGTCATGAATGTTCAAGATAGTAATATAGTCATTGCCAATTTGTTGAGCGCTTACTACGTGCCAGGCTTGTGTGAAGACTTTGGCTTGCGTGGCCTTGTTTAATCCTCCCACTAACATATGAGGCAAATGTTATTATTCTCCCCATCTCCAGGTCAACTGCTGTTACCTTCATCCTAAACATTTCCTATCTCTTTTCTGCAGGTTTTCCACCAAGTACTGGATGTCTCAAACGTGCACAGTGTGTGGGAAAGGGATGCTTTTTGGCCTCAAGTGTAAAAACTGCAAGTAAGCGGCTGCATCTCAAAGTGACTTGTTGCAGAGTCTGATTTCACCTAGAGCCGTCCCGGGTGGGCTCTCCCATGGCTTGTGGGCATTTAAGTTCTTGATGTGGGAGATTTGTTTGCTTTGCATTTTAGAAACAGGTCCTAAATGAACCTCTGTATTTGAGTAGGGGGCCAAGAAGAGCAATTTTAAGTAAGAGCCAGAGCTGATGGAAGATGGTGAAAATGCATAATGCTATACACTGGGGCTCACGTCTTCACAGCATGGGAGATCAGGGCTAGCTGACTTTTCCTCTAGTTGACCAGATAAGCAAATATTTTAAGTTTTGTAAGCCAAAGGGTCTCTGTTGCAGCTACTCAACTCTGCCCCCTGTAGGTAAAAAGAAAGTATGGCCAAGACAGAAACAGACCAATTAATTAAAAGCCGGCAGCAGGCTCACTTGGGCCCTGTGGTTTCTGATCCCTGAGTTAAAAGTTTGCAGTCCCTTCTCTATTCTTCCTTCTCACAGTATCTCTGAAGGAGTGTTATAATTCCCCCCGTGTTACAGATATGAGAGCTAAGTCTCAACAAAGAAGTCACAGCTAGAAGACAGCAGCCAGGGCTTGAACCCAGACCCTTCAACCCCTCTTCTACTCATTTTCTGTGATTTCTCCTTGGTGTTGAGCTCTGGTGGGAAGGTTGAACTGCCCGAGCCCTCTGTTTCTCAAACTTCTATCTGCCCGTTCCAGGCCATGGATAGCAGAAGGGAGGGAGGGAGGCAGGAGAAACTACTACGGACAAGATGTCACAGTTGGTAGTTGCGTGACCTTGGACAAGTCACCTCAGGTCACTGTCCCTGGTATTTTCATCGGTGTGGAAGGAAAAATAATCAGATCCACCTCAAGTATCGTGAGCATTCAATAAAGCGACACAGTGGGTACCCAGCACAGTCCCTGGCTCAGAGTTCGGTCCTCTGTAAAGAGTTACTGATGCCTTTCTGCCCAGCCTGTCTCCCCTCTTCTGTACGCATGTGCTAAATACACTCTCACGTCCAATTCTATGAAGAGCCAATGACATTCAACAGTATGTCCAAGTTACCTGGGTACAATAGAATGCGCTTTGTAGGAGCCGCTCAGTTTAAAACGTTTGAATATCATGTTTTCTGTCGTACGTGGAAATCTTAAAAAGCAGTGATATCATGAAAGTAGAAGGAGGACTGTTAGAGGACAGGAGGGGAGCGAGAAATGATTCAAGAATGTTAAATGCACACATAAAGCCCATTAATCTGCATTACTAATGTGCATTAATGAAAGAGATTCTAGGAATCCCTCTTTCCCTTGTTCTTCCTACCAAGCCCGGGCAGAGAGCTCTCATTTGGGCCCCCTCAGGCCTCCCCACATCTCTCCCTTGTGATGGATGTGAGGGAGCAGCAGGGCAGAGTTCTCCCTCTCTCCACCCCTCCCCATTCCGCCCCACAGTCTCACCTGAGTAAGGAAGGTAAGGCTGAGCTCCCATCCCTCCTAGAGTTGGTGGGATTAGTTGGTTCCAATCCCTAAGGAGCCTTAAACTCCACGGTGGTGGGGGAGGTGGAGCGGTGCTGACCGAGGGTTAGCACTGGGATGCTGTCATCCACCATGGGCCCCGTTGGACCCAGCTTCCCCAGCGCCCCCTGGTTTTCCTGACTCCCGGAGACACCAGGCCAGGCCCTTGGGTCTGCCTCACCTGCTGTCTGACTGCCCTGTACACGGGCCGGGGAGGCCTGTCTCATCTCTCTGGAGTCGCACCGTGATGTGTGCTGTGGGGGAAACGGCAGCTTTCACATCCTAACACCTGCTGCGTGGAGACTTTGAAGTCAAGTAATTAGGTGACAGGGACGCAGCCAGGAGTCGGCAAGGCTGAGCACTTCCCGAGCTGTTTCAATTTGCAGCACTGGAGGCAGAACTTGGAGGCAGCCTTGGCCCTGGTGCTGTCTGTTCTAGAAGTAATGAGCAAGAGCAGCTGGCCTGCCGAGGGCCAGCTCTTGTCAGGAGCGCAGGTTTGGAAGCAGCCAGAGCTGGAGTTTGGGTCCCATCTCTATCATAGAACTCCCCAGGTGAGCCTGAGCTCTTGGACTTCGTTTTCTCATCTGCAAAGTGGGCAAGATATTAATACGCACCACAGGACTATCGGCAGCCCAGATTACAGTATTTTATTCAAGAATATTCCTGCCACTCTGTCATGTGCGGAAATAGCCCCTGGCATAGAGGAGGCCTAATTCCAAACCAGGCCAAGGCTGGATTGCATTGGCAACCTCACCAGTTTGCTCAGCCTTTAGAAAACCCAGCACAATGGTGAAAACAGCTGCTGTAAAACTCCAGCATGCTTCAGGGTCTTAATGTTGTGCTTCTATCAACTACAACAGAATTGAGAGCTATTTCTACTATGTAATTATGAGCATACGTTACTGAAAACAGTTGCAGTTCAAAGTTACTCTCCTGTGAATAAAATTCAGCAATGTTTACATTGATTACCGTGAGGATTGACAGTGACTGGCATGTGTTTGCGAAGACTGACAAAAGTTTAGATCACTTACGGGTGACAGGTTTGGACGAGGGGTAGAAACGAGTAACACACAGACCTCGTGGTCAGAGAGTTAAGAAGAGGGAGGCACACTGTGGACAAGTGAATTTCAGAGAAGTGTGTGCAGAGAGAACAGCAGCAGGTGACGGTTCAGAGGTGCACCAAGGATGGAGAGGCAGCTTCTTAGAAACAACAGGCAGAACCACGTGATGAACTCTACTACTACAGGCTGAGTGTCCCTTATCCTTATCTGAAAATGCTTCAAGCCTGAAGTGTTTTCGGGTTTCAGATTCATTGTGATTTGGGAATATTTGCATACACACAATAGGATATCTTGGAGAAGGGACCCAAGTCCAAATACAAAATTTATTTACATTTTGTATTTACTCCTACACATAACCTGAATGTGTGTGGCTGTACACGATGTTTTTGGTGCACACAATTTTGACTGTAGTCCATCCTCACAGGAGGTCCTGTGTGGAATTTTCCACTAGGAGTATCCAGTAGATGCTCAGAAAGTGTTGGATTCTGGGCCGTTTAGGAATTTTGATTTTTCGATTTAGGGATACTCGACTGTAATATATTAATATTGTGCCTGGAACTCTTCCCAAGTGCTGGGAAAGCAACAGGGACTGAAACGGACACCAAACCCGACCCAGTGGAACTCATATGCTGGTGAGGTGTGGTGGGGTGGGAGTTAGGCAGATAGTCAGCAAAGAAGATTAGCTCAAAGATCCTGTGATCAGACGATGCCAATACTAAGCAAAAAACAAAACAAAACAGAGAAGGGAAACAGGAGGAGCCAGGGTAGGACTGCAATCTTAATTAAATGGACGGGAAAGGTCTCCTGCCTGAGTTAGAATACTGGGAAAGTAGGAGTGTGGGGTCCGAGTTACTTCCTGTCCTTCTAAAGCAGCCTAGAGGCATGGATTTGAATCTTCCCAGCAGGGAATGATTTTTTTTTTTTTAACTGAGCAATGCTGTTCGGTGAGTGTCTGAAACCCCTGGTGAGAGGAACTGGATTGGATGGTGCGCCCCAGACCAGCTGCCTGAGCATCACGTGAGAGCTGCTTAGAAATGCAGAGTCTCAGGCCCTACCCTGGACCTCCTGAATCCAGACTGGCATTTTAGCAGGGTCCCAGTCAGCAGGAAGTGTGAGAAGCGCTGTTCTGAGTGCTCTTCTGCAGGTTTTCCTTTATATTATGGGTTTCAAGCTTGAACACACAGTGCAGTGCTCTGTAGGGTTTGTTAAAACACAAGATTCCTGGGCCCCATCTCCAGAACCTCAGAGCCAGTAGCTCTGGGATGGGTCCCCAGAATGTGCCTTTGCAACAGGCTCTTAGGGGTTGCTGATCTGCTAGTCTTGGGTCCCCACATTGAGAACCACTACAGGAAAGTAGGAATTAAAAAAACAAAGCAAAACAAAACAAAACAAAAAACAGCTCTATTGTCCAGCTGGACATTTCACCGTGTGCAGTGTTTTTGTATGAAAGGACAGGCTTTGTTTATTATTTTCCAATCTCTGCTGTTCTTATGCCCCTGGGCTTTACCTTCTAGATTTGGGTCTTCCTCATCATCATCTTCTCAAGAAATTTATGGAGCAGATATTTATGTGATGAGTGAAAAAGATAGCATGGGATTAAGAACCCAGGCTCTGGGTTCAAACATGTTTGAATCCTGGCTGTCACCAACTGGTTATGTGGTCCCTTCTACACCTCAGTTTCTTCCTCTATAAAATGGGGGTAATAATATCTTCTCAGCTAGATTGTTTAAAAAACAACCACCAAGTAAGTTCATTGTTAAGTCAAATGCTCACCCTAGTACCTGGTCCATTATAAATGCTAAATTGATGATAAAGATAACAGTATTACTAACTTCATGAGTTAATGTGGGGTGCCCCCTCCACCCAGGAAGCCAGATACTTCCTCATGTCTAACCCCCTTCCCTCCTGCTGCAGTTTAATGCCCACGTCCTCCGGAATTATCATCAGCTGCCTTGTTGGTGTTCTGAATAGAGAGATTAATGAACTAATAGGAAATTAAGACTCAGAAAGCAATTTGCAGTTATCTAAATCAAGGCATTTTCGTCAATTAGGTTCACGGGCACAGGACGGAGTTGAGCTGAGTGGTTGTTCGGATGTCAGCACAATCCACATATTGTCTGATAACTGTGGATTCAGCTGGCACAAGTTTGCTTTTGCAGTGAGATATTGCTGGGTTTCCCTGCTCTCAGTCGTGAGCTATCTGCGATCTTCCCCCTCAGGTCCTCACATGGATTTCCGCAGAGCTGAGGTCTAGGTCCTTGGGTACCTCTCTGCCTTTGCATTTCTTGCAGAAAAAAATATACTGTAGTGATTTGAGCGGCTTATGCCCTGGAAGAAAAGAATTTAAGCCTAGATGCATTTTTTTTTTTCTGAACAGGCCAAAGTGTGGAAGGGAAGGAAAGAGCTCCCCAAACCACTACTG